TATTAGGAAAAACACAGTGAATTTTTTCGATTCCAAGAAATTTGTTCACGTCACAAATGTGTGCCACTTTTTTGTAATATCCAACGAAACCACATCTTTGACTCCATCAAAATTCAAAATACAAACTCCATCAGAAACATTAATTATAAACTTTGAACCTACCCATATACTAATACAATCCATTAGGCCATCATAGTGCATGAAAAGGATGTATAAGAATAATTTCATTACCTGTTACATAATAGCTCAAATTCATTGTTTCTGATCTTTTCAATATTTGAGTATTTGGGTCAGCATACTATACATTAGGGGAAAGTTAGAAAAATGGAATTGAAAAGAATGTTAGAAGAAAGGGCATGGACACTATTCAGAAGGCCAAGTGTCAAACAGCCATTTTGCAGAAAAACCGACCCTGGATTTGGATGCCTCCATCATAACCAACTTCTGAGGCCAAAAATCCCTACCCTCATTAAAAACTCACTCATCTGTTGGATTTGTAATTCATAGAGAAAATAAGAAATTTATAGAGAACACTAATTTATTGGTACGAGGCATTTCTCAGGTAAAACCAGATGTAAAGTCCCAACGCGCCCAAGCCATCAAACCCTCACTTCTCACAAACAACTCGTAATAGTAATAATAATAATATCAAGAAATTAATGCACCTACATTATTGGATTTTGCAATGAATTCACTTGATCATATTAAAGGAAGTTCATAATCCCTTAAAAATTGGAAAATTTCAGCAACATTTTAGAAGCATACGACCAAGGAATGCTATTAATTACCTATGTATTTAAACACAACAACATTAATTAATTTAATATAATGTCTAAAGAAATCAAGAAATGATAATTTTGACGAGTGGAATATTAAAAAAAACCAACATAAAAGGGTTTATGTTACATGCATTAATAAGATGGAGGAGGAGGAAGAGGACCCCAAAAAACATCATGGGAAATTTGAGAATTATTTGGAATCAAATTATATACCGATTCTCCCACTGCCCGTGCCTGAGATGCTGAATTATTCCCATTACTGTTATCTCCATCTCCCGATTGTTTCTCTAATCCCATTTCCTCATCATTATTCGCATTCATCTCTTCATCATCTAATTCCTCGATTGGCAATTTCTCGTAAATTGCATTCGTAAACGACGCCGCAATTACAATCACCGGACCGGCTGCCATCAGCGGGCCCGCCACCAGCCCTCCCACGACCCGCCC